TATATATCTTATATTAATGTCTTAAGATTTGGAGGATTTTCAATGATGGAGGTAGGTTCAGTGCAGGGTTAGTTTGTCTCAGGGGTTTGCAATGGCTGTTCATGCTGCGCAAAATCTTGAATGTTCTCTTCCAACTCTTCACATAGCTTTTTCCTCTTTAATGTTTTACTCAAAAATATAATTTTCTCTTGAGGACTTTCCTGGTATCCTTACTTAAAATTGCAAACTTCATCCTCACTCCCCAGTCTCCCAAAAGCCATTTGCTGCCTTATTTTTCTTCGTAACACTTACTACCATTTATCATACTAACATTTACTTATATATTTTATCTATTAAATATATTTTATTCCTTAGATTGTGAGATCCCTGAGAGCAGAGATATTTCTGTGTGTTTTTTAGAATAGTGGTTAAAACGTGTCTGGTAGTAAATGTTTACTAAACCAGGGAATCTGTTTATCTGTTTGCCTGCCTATTGAATGTGGAAGAGCATACACTGAAACTCCAATAGGTTTTCCTGGATATATTAGGTCTTTACCTATTTCTTTAATTTTAGCATTATCCAAAGGAAGCAGTCTTATTTTTATAAATGTTGAAAAATAAACTTTAAAAATAAACTGGGAAGGAAGCCATTTATTTAGATTTTAGGAAAGGGCAACCATGGCAAACAGTGCCATGCATATTTGAGCCATCGTGGTTGTTCTCCCCAGTGTCTCACAAATTACCAACTGTGTGTGAACACGAGTGCTGGGACAAGTCAAGAAAGTAGGGAAAAGGGACCAGCAAAACTTGACCATGGGTTGTCTTAGTTCACAAAATAAAAGCTAGGCAGAAGTGCATTTATTTTTTCATGTTTTGCCAATGCAATTGGGATTAGCATTTGCTATGTGGACCTAGCTCTCTCTGCTGGTTGTGCAGGTGGTTGCCTAGCCTAGTGTAAGAGAATACTTTGAAATCCCAAAGGAAGAGACGTGCTAAATCATTCTTCCCCATTAACAGCACTGGGGCTCAGAGCATGAGACCTCAAAGTATTTTGAACTGAAGGAGCCGGGAAGGGTCTAGAAGCAAGGCCCTTCTGACTTTCTCCTGCTCTCCTGTCTCCCATTTCTTTCTGTCTCCCCACTAGAAGTCATGGAAACTTGGTCTTCTTTCCCCCAAAGGATGCCACACCACCTTGGAAGGTCACTCTCACTTCTCCCTTGAAAATCCTCATTCCAGAGTCTTTACTCAGTACCCCCATCAGACTGTTTTTATTAACTCATTTCTTTTCGTCCATTACATTTCTACTCAGCTATACATTTTTTTTCATAAAATTTAAGCATAAAAATATGCAGTTTTAGTGGTAGAGCATTGCCTAGCATGTGTAAGCCCCAATTCCATTCCCGGCACTGCAAAAAACAAAGAAAAGTTTTACCTCTGTCTTTGGGTCTTCATTTTGGGAGGCTCCTGATTAACCTCAGATTAAATTAATTTGTTGTGCTTTTCTATTAGTAACCTGCCTCTTGTTATTGGGTCATTAATCATGACCCTTAATGATGAATAAAGAAAAGTTTTACACCCTTCCACCCCTCCAATACCTCTCTGAAAATTTGCCAGTCAATGAACCAGGATGTCACCTGGGACAATGAGGCAAAAGACTACCAAGGCTGATGAAGAAGTCAGGAAGAGCAATTGATGGGGAGGGGAAGAGTGGGTGGGGACTCAGCAAAATGAAGGAAAACCCGTGAAGGAAACTGAACCTACTCACTAGTGTGCGGAAGCCCTGGCTTTTACAAAATTACGAATCTGAGCTTTTAGCTGTTTTCTTTTTCCTTTTTTTTTTTTTTTTTTTTTTTGAGGGGTAAACTAGAGCCCTGGGGCTAAGTGTAGCCCAGCACACATTTTTGCAAATGAAGTTTTATTGCCACACTGTGTCCATCATTTGCATTTTCTCCATGGCTGTTTTCTGGCTACCTTGTCAGAGCTGCAGTAGTTGTGACCAGGACCGTGTGACCTCAGAGCTTAAGCTGTATACTATTCGGTTCTTGATAGAGAAAAGTTTGCTGGCCTGGGTCCTGTACCAATGTCTGTGGCTCATTTTGCTGAGATTGGCCCCGAGAATGCAGAAACTGCTGAATGGGCTCTGAACTCATTTGATGCTCTGCTTCTCAGCTCGTTTGGATGCGTGTGAGGGGATAGTAGCCAGGCTTCCATCAGGGGTCTAATGAAGCCAGAAGGGATGTCCAATGGGCAGCAATTTCTCATTGCATAGGGTCACCTCTGATGATGAGAATCAGAAACATGTTGGTGAGTTAAGGGACGAACACCCAGGGAAGGGAGAGAGAAGAGATGAGATGAGACAGGACTTTACTCCTCCCAAGAGTTCTCTAGAGCCTTTCTGCATTTAACTTCTAGAGGACAGAATGCTGCCTGCCTGAATTTAGTGAACTGAATTTTGTCCTTAGAGACGAGCATGCTGCTCCTGATGACTTCAATGGGAGTAACGGGCCATTTGGTCCCACCACATCTGTGCTGGCTTCAGGCTATTTAACAAACTCCTAAGCAAATCCCAATAAAGTGCTCTTTAATGGATTCTTAATTCTGCTGTGGGGGTGGGTGCTGAGCACACCTAAGTCCTAACTTTTCCTTCAGGTTTACTTAGTCTCCTCCTTTTTTATGACTTGCTAATTACTGCAACCAAGAGCCCTGAGTCAAGAAGTATTAAATCCACTCAAAGTCATAAGATGTCTGCTTTTATTGATCTCAGTTGATCTGTTTACTTACTCTCTGGGTTCCAAATTAATAGCTCAATTGATTATTCATTTACATTTTTAATGTTGTTATGGGCAAAGTCACTTTAACATAAATCATCTCTAACTTCATGGGTGACATACAAAATCGTTCTGGATTTTTAATTTCAACAAGTATTTATTGAGCCTCTGAGCTCAGGTGAACTTAACCCATATGAAAAAGGTCATTTCAGACTCTAGTGAAAGATGATAGAAATGATTTTTTTTTTTAAATTTTTCTGCTGCACAAGGTGGCCATTACTTATGAGTAGTTAATCTGAAGTCAATCAGGACATTAACTTTTGTGTTTTTCTCTTGCTAACTATATTTTGCCTAAATACAATTTAAATATCTATCATGACTACACATTTGTTTGAACTCTTTCTTAAATTAAACACAGAAATTTCAATGATTTGTTTTCCTTTTGAATGGTTTTTGCTTTGCTGGAGATGGAGAAATAGTGAGAGATTACACATGGAGAGCTCACCATAATGAGAAATAAAATGGTTGTATTAGCTCACGAAATACTCTTTTAACAACAGTAGGTAACACAGAAGATCTAACTACACTTGTGTTTACAATAAAATATTCTACCTGAAGGCTCTTTAAATATGTTGTGAAGTTTATTTGATAATATGTTTTCTTTCTTCACAGGAAGCAGGTAAAGCTCTAAAAAAAAAAAAATGACTGCCTGTGGCATATCCCTCCCAATAAGACTGCTTTGAATATAATATTTATGAATTATATATCCAATCACCTACCACCTTCATTTCTTCCTAAAATGAGATGAGGCATAAGAAAATACATAAATGCATATCTCCAACCATAAGAGTCACTTTTATCTGACAGCATAAAATGGAAGCAGAGTTTAACGCCAAATGGAGGAGGCTCACTATTCATCCTCTGGGGGATAATAAGTGCTAATGCTTTTTGAAAAGGGTATTGAAAAATGAAACAGTATTAAAGTCTAAAAGTGCTTCCCTGTACTAATTTTCACTGTTAATTTTATTAGTCTTTTTGCCCAATGTGTAGATTACAGAAAGGAGCTAATTTCAATTCTTGGAGGAAAAAAAAAAATTCAGACAGTTAATAGTGTTATTTTTCTGAACGTAATTACTAAACTCTTTTCTTCAAGTATGTGATAGGAAGCAGATAATAAATATACATAAGATACACTTTCTATTTCAGGATCTTCTAGTCCCATAGATATGTAATAGATCATTGAAATAGAATGTGAGAGACAATGATTCTATTTCCAAAACACTGCTGAAGAGGGAATATTTATATGTGGTCATGGAGAAAGAAGGTGTTCACCAGCATTTGAGTCTCTCACAGTGGCTCCATAGTGAGGGGCTCCACAGCCTCGGAAAGCAGAAATTGGGGAGAAATGAAAGACTTCTCATCACAGCTGGTGTGAGAATATAGGCCATGGAGGGAAGCTAGTGCCTTGATTTATAAAAACTAACTTGGCTTAATGTGAAATTGGCCAAGTTATTATATGCCACAATAAACCCCACCACTCTGTTTAATTAATATGCACCAATAAAAAAAATAAGCACAATAGTCCAATGGTGAAAAACTTTGAGTTAGAGGGGCTTAGATTTTATTATGTGGACAAAGGAGGGTCCTTGGCTGTAAATGAAACAAGTGGGAGTCTAATCTCTGACAGACCCTGAACTGTAAGCAGAAGACAGGGAGAAAAAAACAGAACACTGCAGATGGAGTTAGAGAAAATCTAACGAGGGCCAGAAGAAAAGCTTAGTTCTAAGACTCATCACCTGGGCTCAGAGGCTCTTTCCCAGGAAATAGTACACTTGAATAGTATAATCTGTACCTGAATTCTTGTTTGCTAATCTACTTTGGGAACTTTTCCAGACATTTGCATAGCCACTTATCAAGTTCAAATCTTATTAACTGGTCACTTTCATTGTGGTCATAGTTGCATAAATGAAATTACATCTTTGATATGTAATTAGAATATAACATATCAATAGGGTGATAGTTCTTTTAAAAAATCCCATAAATTTGATGAAAAAAATATCAGAAAGAATCAAAAAACAAGAGACACTCAAGCTAGCTACACTTGATGTTCCTAAATTACTTTGGAATACACAGTCGGCTTTATATAAAGACATTTTCATGCACTCCACCTGAAAAGTTTATGCCTGTAGAAAACTTTAATTCCCTTTGCTCAGGCCAAACATGGCCAGGTGTGGTCTCATGTGAGTCCCATACCTGTGCTGTCTTCATACACCACAGTCACTGTTTTCCAGTTGTAATAGAGGACCAGATCCAGGACCGCTCTGCTGATAGCTGCATAATCTGGATAGAGGTTGATGTAAAACAAATCTTTGTTGTCCACTGAGGGGTGTTTCCAGCGGGTCTGTATGTGTGGAACTTCGAGAGCGTTGCAAATAGACTGCACAGCACTGACGGAGGAACTATGGGAAGGGCCAAAGAGGGCAGCCACACCGAGAGCCAACTGGTCACATGCTGAGGATGTCCAAAGACAAGTAGGGGTGGGAAAAGAGATGGAGAATAGGGAAAGGGGGAGAGAAAGAGAGTCCTGTGAGTTTTATATTTCCCTTTGAGGATTCTTCTTTTTAACTTGACTATTGGAAAATCTCCTCATCTGTATGTAGAGGAAATGTGCTCCTTTCAACTTCCAATTTTCTTGAGATGATAAGATACTGATAGATGTAAATGTAGAACCGATTAGCAATACATCACAGGACCAACTCCCTGCAAATAAAAATGAGTTACGGGTCTCACTTCATTACCTTTAATCAGATGGAGTCTAAATCCCTCACTTAATGTGGCTGTTACTGGGGAGCCCTCCAGGAGCCAACCAGCAAGTCATTTGTCAAATGAATGTTGTATGAATTAAGTCCTGTCATATGGCAGGGTGGCAATGAAGGTATTAGCGTGGTCACAGAATTCAGAGGAAAAACCTGTGAGTGACTACAAATTGCTTTCGCTTCTGTCTTTCCCAAATTCAGTTCCAGTTTATTGAGATTCTGCAAAGGATTGTTCGTTTTTCAGAATACTGATTCTCGACACCTAATTAATTACAGAACAATGGAATAGCATAGCTTAAAGGGAATCTTAGGAATCTCACTTCAAGACTATGGGCTGAGTTTTGACCACTAACAGTGGCGGAGCTAAATCAGAGCTCAGGACCCCGGCTCAAGGTCAGGTCCTTTTCTGTCTCAGTATCAGCCAACATATACCTTCACAGAATGAAGTCATATTTAAAAATGTATTTATAACATAAATTAATTTTCTCACTATATATGCTAATTGAGAGAATTTAGAATATTTAAAATGTATGGAAAACCAGTAGGCTGTACTTAATCCATCATCTTGGGAGAATATCTACTTATATTTCAGACAGTTGGGATCATTATACAAATGCAGTTTGATCCATTGAATATAATAGCACACTTCTTTGTCAAGTAATTATAAATTCTTCAAAAGGACACTTTCAGTATCTGTAGAATATACCGTTCCATGGAAATTTAATCACTTATTTTAACCATTTTTATAATTTTAAACATTGAAGCTCCTTCTACTTCTTGACCATAAGAAATTTTATACAACTTCTATTTTTCTCTGTATCTTAGGATACTTCCTTAGAATAGATTTCCAAGGTTTGAGTTTCCAAGGGTTAACTAAATTAAAGGGTTTTGACATTTTTGTTATTTGATACATATTATCCAAATTTCCCTCCAGAAAGGTTAGAGCATTTTAATCTCTACAGCCATGTAAATAGAGCCTATTAATCTTATGCTGGCAGGTGTTAAATATAAATTTAGCTGCATTTTCAAATTTATATTGTAATTCTATTTTGAAGTAATTTAGAACTACCAAGATATAATAATTGAATATAAGACTTAAATAATAGCTCAATTTGTAAGTGCAATAGTGTTGACTTTTATAATAATATCATTTGGCAAATAAAAGTAAGTGGAACATTTGTATGACTCTAAAATTACCTGACTCGATTTAGAGAGAATAATATGATAACTATTGTAGATATCTAAGGGGCTGTGGGTGTTGACAGTTATTTACAAGGAAAACTTTATGATACTGTGCTGTTCAGTACTGAATTACTACGTCAGCTATAGATATGTATACTTTTCTGCATCAAGTGCTGTAGGTATAAATTGTCGTTGTTCTTAGAATCTTATTTCTGGATGTATTTTCATTAGTTAACCAGAAAAAAAAAAATAAGAGCACAAGAGTTTGTGAACTGCCATGTGATCCAGCCTGTGCAATGGATTGAGATTTTTGCTAATATGTAGCTCTAGGATTCTAATAGTACTTGACAGAAAATCAATCCTTTTGAATTTTGTTTGCCAGCAAATTACCAATTTTAAGAAGCTTTGGGGTGTTTAATTTACAAGTATGGCAGGTACTTCAGATCATAAGAAATCTCAGTTCTTATGTGGGTTGAAGTACCAATGCTAAATGTAGTTGGCTGGCTTTCTATGGAGTGTGTGTGTGTGTGTGTGTGTGTGTGTGTGTGTGTGTG